GAGAACGGAACAATTGATAAGGTTGTAACATGAAACAAGTGGATTTTAGGCCCCATCAAGTTAGATGACCAACCAATACTTAAGTAGGATACTGGCATAAAAGGAAAGTGATTTTTCTTTCCTTGGTTTTCTCTCTTTTTAAGAAGGAAAAACATATATATTTGATAAAATGACCAAATTGTTTCCTTGCCTTTGGTGAAACAGGACCATGTGCCTTGCAGGAGATTAACAGGACACAAGAAAGGTTCAGAATGTTGCTAGACCAAACTGTTGAGCAAGGGCCAAGAACAAAAGATGACTCATACGAAGATGAATCTCAAATACCAGGATAAAATTATTCGTCTCAACAAGAGAGGGTTGAGATAATGCATACATGAACAACAAAAACCAGGCTGCTCTGGCATTTACATTTAGAAATAGATCAGAACCCTGCCCACAAAAGCTTTGGCATAAGATATTTTATATTATGTGACATATCACCAGTAAACTAGTTTCAAGTTGGATTTCTTTAACTGACTTGCTTAAGGGGGCATTTGGTTGCTTGCAACTATAGTTGCAATGCTAGTGTCACTTGCATGCAACTGTGACGTTGCAACTTTCTTACATGCAACTATAATTTCCACTGCTTGGTTCAAATTTTAAATTTTGCAACTTGCACTTGCAGCTGTTTGATTTTGCTTGTAACTTTACATATGCAACTTATTATTTATCATTAATAAATTACTAAAGTTATTAATTCTTTTCACACTTTTTAAATATTTATTTTAAAAAAATAATGGTTTTTATTATTAAGCAAAATAAACTTTAATTTTTTGAAAACATTTTGTAAGATAATATTTTAAAATAATATTTTATTAACGGAATTATTTTAAAAAAATATTTTTGGAAAATAAATTATTTTTGGAAAATAATATTTTGGTAAAAATATAGTTCTGTAAATGAATTTCATCAAAAATTATTTCTTTTCCATAAATTTTTTGGATAAAGCATTTTTTGAAAATATATTATTGAAATTTTTGAAAATAATATTTTAACAAAGTATAATAGTATTCAAGGAAAAATTGTATTTTTTTGAAACATAATACTTTTCAATTTAGCTTTTTCATATATTTTTTCAAAACTAATTTTTTCAAGAATTTTTCCTAAAAAATAACATTTCTCCAAAAATTAGTTTATAAAAAATATAATTTTTAGAGATAATACTTTCTAAAGATAGTATACTTTAAAAAAGTTATTTTACAAATAATATATTTTTGGAAAATATATTATTTTAAAAAATAACATATTTTTGTAAAATATATTATTTTAAGAAATAATATATTTTATGAAAATATATTATTTTAAGAAATAATATATTAGTTTGAAAATAATATATTATTTAAAAAATATATTATGTTAAAAATATTACATGAATATTTTATTTGAAAAATAATATATTATTTAAAAAATAATATATTACTGTGAAAATAATATATTATTTACAAATATAATATATTATTTTCCACAAATATATTTTTTTAAAAATTTAAAAAATAATATAATACATAAAAATATTACTTTTTGAAAAATGTTATTTTATAAAAAATAATATGTTAATATTTTTTAAAAGAAAGAATAATATTTTATTTTTCTAGAATAATAATATTTTTTCGTATAATTCTATTTTAAAAATTATTATTATTTCAAAAAAAGTATCTTATAAAAATGTTTTTTAAGATGTTACTTTCAGAAAAAACATTTTTTAGGAAATATATTTTAAATAACTTTATTTTTTAAAAAAATTTTGTAGAAATTATTATAATATTATTTTTTGAAACCTAAGTTACATGGAAAGTGGTACCGGTACCGGTACTATTACGGGTGCCGGTAGGGGACACAGCAAATTCGTAAAATGTAGGGTATGTGGACACGACTACATATAGTTATTAAAATCAATAATTTACTTGAGATAATTATTCCTTTTCAATTCATGTGTTGTTAAAATTAAAATACCTGCCACAATTTTAAGTATCCTTCAAAAAGAAGTGCTCATTTCTAACTAGACACTCAAACAACCCTTTAAAATCATAGTTTTGAACTTGGATATGGGTTGAAACAAACTCGACCCATATCTAACGAGTTTTAAGAAATGGATGCAAATGTAGAATATGCGCTTAAGAAGTGTATGACAAGTGTGTTATATTAAAACATATATCATATAATCGGTACCCATCTATGTATATAAACAATGTCCATGAAGCTTAGATACAGGTAAGTGTCTAGTACGCACTGTTTTAAAAAGCCTCCACCTAATCATGGGTATACACTGTAAAACCTCGTAAATTTGAATATATGATGATAAATAATAATAAATATGTTATATGGTTATAAATAACATATTTTGATGTTTGAGTATGATACGATTTGATTTGAGATCAAATCAATGTATATATACGAGTATAGAAGAGAATTATGCACAAAACATGCATAAGCTGAATCTGTGCTCTTAGTAGTTACTACTAAGCTTAGTAGTCGACTACTACGGCCATTAGTCGACTAGTAAGGGTATTAGTCGACTAATCGGGTTGTTTCCAGTTTTCTTATGGGTTTCGGGTCTGATTCGTTTTGTTTCGAACCCAGTTGTATATATGCGTACATATACTCGTTTTAAAGCTCTTTTTATCCTCTTTTACCTGAGATTAACACCTTCCTCCTCAAACCGTAACCCTAAAGTGTGAGTTTTGGGAGAGATCTCGAGGCGTTTGTCGAGAGAAAGGGAGGTTTTGCGGTTTCTGACAAAGAAGGGATCTTGCATGCGTGTTCAGGAGTTCAACACAGCGTTTGAGGCAAAATCATCTTCATCCAAACTAGTCCCTATAATTAGTTAAAGTTTTGAAGATATTTAATTGATGTTTTCATGGTTAAGTGTAACCTAATGTGATAAAAATCAGATTTTTGATGATAAATCTTAACCCTATGCTAGATCTGAAGTGAAATCTTTGTTGTTGATGATAGAAACATGATCATTTAACCCTATGCTAGATCTGAAGTGAAATCTTTGTTGTTGATGATAGAAACATGATCATGATCATTAGGGCTGATGTTAATTTCGTTTTTAACTTGTTAATTATGTTTAACTCATGAGTAAACCTTAATTAGTTGTTTAATTGAGTTTTCTTGTAAACTAATCATGCTAAAACCCTAGGTTTGTGATACCTAAGTCATATAAACATGTATAAACGAAGTTTCACCTCTGTTCATTAGTAGTTTTCATCAAGTGTTGATAATTACGTTGTTTAATTAAGAGCTAATTGAGAAAATTGATTAATTAGAATGTTAATCCCTAATTAGAACAAGTTAATAGATTTGTTTCATATTCAGGATGATTTCTGTTGAATATTACATGTTTTCATTTGTACTACATCTCATGATAAGTATATGATGAATGATAAGCTCTATCCGTGCATGAAAGAATGCATGCTTTGACTTGAGTTAGAGATCGTTTATACACAATGTTGAATATCGTTGATGATCACAGCTCAGTACTATATGAAATAGTACGTCGATATACCAGGCATACACAGTTTATACACGAGATGGATATCGTTGATGAGCTCAGTTCAGTACTACGTGTGGTGGTACGTCGATATTCTATTTGTACAGACCATTGAGTCGGGTTTGGATGTTTTGTCTAGCAGTTTGTCCGCACGGGAGTGCGATGAGGCTTGTGAGCCGTCTCTTAGGATACTTATATGGTAGGTCGTCCCGTCCTCATGTTACGTACTGAGATCGCGATGAGACAAATAAGCTATGTACACTGTTAGGATACCTATAGGGTAGTTCGTTGCGCATGATAATGCTATGAATTAAAAAATTTTGCGAAGAATTGTAATATGACAATTATGTGATAGCCTAAGTTTGGTGTATGCCAAAAGTGAATTCGACTCATTGTTAAGATATTTGATGACTGAGATACCTTGTTGTGCGAGTACACGAGATACATATACTGATGGTTATTTCGATGTTTTATCTTTCTAGCTATGTTTCCTTTCATTCTTAGTTCGGGATTAATATATAGTTATCTACAATTTAAAACATATGGTATATATATGAGGATTTTTTTTGTTTGGATTATTTCGCTCGACGTACTACGTCTCGCATTGTAGGTGTCTAAATATTAATTTTATTAGATACGAAAAAAATAATCTAGATAGACTATGCTTAATAGATAGAACCTCAACTTCATCTAACAGTCCTTCCCCTGGGGGCATATAGAGGTAATCTTGCTATAACACTTTGACGCTCTTGTTGTTATTTTTTTGTTGTTTTAAATTCCCTTTTTAGGCAGCTCAGAGTTCTGGAGAGCCGCAGGATGACGGAGTTCTAGCATAGTCGCCGTCACACATTTTAGTAGCTGAGACTCCACTATAGTTTTATGTTCTCATTCAGGTATTAGAGATTTATTTTCATATTGTAAAGACAGTGTGTCTTAGTACGATTTTTAGTTGATTCATGTTGAGACAATTTTATTATTCCAGATATCAGATGTATTTCAGTTAAGACATGATTTTTATTTATGAGATATCTCTTTCTATATCATGTCTATTATTTTTATTTTCTTATTTTGCATGTTTTGTACCTACACTTATATTTGATTCCACTATAGCATATTACTGTGATTGGTGAAACGTGTTAATGCACGGTGTAGGCGCATGACAGATTTAACATCTCTGGGTTCACCTTGGATTGCAGCCATGTGTGAAAACAAGGACGTTACATACACCTAGGTCTAAGCGATACATTCGCCTAGCGCCTAGAGTGTACCTAGGTTGCCCACCTAAATTTTGAAAGTGTTTAAGGAAGCATTATCTGATTACGTAGACTACACCATTTAGGTCTTGATCGTAATTTTCTATGTTGCAATCTCCATGTCCTCCAACCTCCTTCAAACTCCTTTAACTTCCAAATATGAACACCTCCACTACCTCCTCCGATCTTTAGCAAAACTTCTCCGACCACCACTTAAATAAAAAAAGAAATCTGCTAAGACACTAGCTTAGCACCTAAACTTTCTAAAACATTAATATTTACTATCAACTATTGTAATTAAAAAATAAAAAAATCTCCTAAGCTCTAGACGACAAGCTACCAAACGCCCCCTAAATGTGTTGATTTGTTCAGTGGCAGAACTAGAAATTTCGACGAAGGGGTCCAAAAAATAGTTAAACCCTCACCAATAGGGATAGAAGATATTTGACTTCTAAGAAATTGTATCATAATTGAGTCATCATGTTAGTCCCTTAAATCTTTCATATTTTGAAGTAGTCCCTAAAATCATGAAAATTGCTATTAGGTCCCCTAATTTTAATTGGCTAAACGAAACTTAAATACCCTATTGTTTCGCCATCTTTACACTTAAATACCCAAGTTGTAAAATGTAACACTTTAATACTTTTAAGTTGTAAAAAAAATTGGTGCATTAGTACCTTTTAGTAGTTATCATGAAAATATTCCTAGGAATATGTCCTGACAACTAACAGAAGGTATAAAATTGCTACTTTTTTATAATTTAGGGTATTAAAGTGTCATTTTCTTACACCTTGCGAGTATTAAAGTGCTACTTTTTATAACTTAGAGAATTTAAGTGTAAATGTGATGAGCAAGAGGGTATTTAAGTGTCAGTTTTTTACAATTTAGGGTATTAAAGTGCTATTTTTTACAACTTAGGGTATTAAAGTGCTATTTTTTTACTACTTAAGGTATGTAAGTGTAAATGTGGTGAAACAATAGAGTATTTAAGGGCCATTTAGCCATTTAATTTGACTTTTTTTGAAGTTAGTCCCTCTACTCAAGAACATAAATAGCTATTGGAGAGATTAATTTGAAGAAAAAAATTGTGAGAATTGGAGGAGCGATCCACAATAATAGATTTTACTTGGTAATCCCTCCAATTGCTACTTCTACTCTTGATTAGATGGATTAATTTCAACATGTTAAGAATTGAGGGTCCTAATAGAAACATTTAATGGACTAGTTTCAAAATAATCTAAGAATTAAGGGAGCTAACAACAATTCCCATAATTTAAAGGGGCCAATTTTCAAAATATGAAAGATTTAAGCGATCAATATGGAAACCCTAATGTATATTATATGATTTTATCATTAATGGGGGATCAAGGCCCTGTTGGGCCCTTAATGGCTCCGCCGCAGTATTTGGTTTCAACATTTTACGTGCACAATATTATTGAGTAACCACTATACCAAAAAGGGACTTAAGACAATGTATTGTGGGCTAACATTCTACAAGCAAACCTACACATTCAAAATATCCCAAAATTAATCAACTCTATTTTCATGCATATACACTATTTGCTCCTAACCCATCACCTTAAGCTTTATAATGGTCCCTTGATGTATTATTTGAAATAAGTCACCAAAATATGTAATTATAAAATAAATTCCCTGAATCCACAAAGTTCCAAATAGGTCCCTCAAAATATAGGTAACGTGAAATAGGTCCTCCAAAGGACTTTATTTTGTAATGCTCCCTAGTCCCTACATTCTTTAAGTTACACCAAATAGATCCACATTAGTCTTTTAAGTTAAAATCTAGCTTTGGATTAGATTACCCATCCACTAAAATCAGCCATATCTGAGTTATCTCACTCCTCTCTATCAAGAGCAATGATGGAAGCTGGCAGCAATGGTGGTTGCCTAACCGCAAGTGTCCAGCAGGGCAGCATCAATGATTGCAACTATCAACCATCAGCGATGATGGTGGCTGACATAGGCACAACTAAGGGCACAACGGGAATAACAAAAATTTGATAGAAAATTATATGTTCAAGTTGACCTATTTGGTATAAAAACTATGTGAAAGACTTACTTCGAAATAATGTCTTTTCAAGAATCTATTTCAAATTACCTAGCATCGGGGGACCAATACCTAAAAACCCTTTTAAGTTTTGTGCATGCATAACCTAAAAGTCAAGAAGATTCTAACCACTAGATTAACCTGCAAGATAGATGAGACAATATACAAGGCTACAAGGTAAATGAGAGAACAGTGTTATACAACAACTAATTTTCTTTCGATAGAAGCTTGGAAAAAATGTCGGTTTCTTGTACTTACAGTTGATACAGTAATCCTTTTAGGTGAAAGCTGGAAAGGGTGTCCAGTAATAATCTGTACAGCTTCCACTAAAGCATTATAGTTGTTCAATGGCTCCCCCATTCCCTGCATCCACCAAAAAGTACGAAGTTAAAATATATTCCATGGAAGAATAACAAGATTCTGTGTGTAATGCCATAAAAAAATGACATATGAATTAGATAACATAGGTCAATAGGCCCTCAATCATCAATATATTACTTACTGCGAAAGCATGTTCAATTTTAAATAAATACAGAATAGCTTAAGATGAAATAGTGCAAACAAAAAAACATCCTTCAAACTTACTTCGACATTTTACAGGATAGAATTTTATGATATATTCTGAATAAACAAGTAAGCTTGTTTAAAAATCCAATGTATTTCATACCATGAAAACAACATTGCGTATGTGTGAAATACGAGATGCATGAACCAGCTGCTCAACAATTTCACCAGATGACAAATTATTCTTAAAACCCATAGTTCCAGTAGCGCAGAATTTACAACCCATTTTGCAACCCACCTAAAGAAGGGGTAAAAGGAAAAAGTAAAACAATAGGCAGAAATCTGAAGCCAAAAGTATAAGCACAAGCAGAAGAAATACATTGCCAGAATTTTTTCTCTCTATTAAGAATCAATTCTTAATAAGGATTATACCTGGGATGACACACATAAGGTTGACCTCAAACCCCCAGGACGAGGTTTCCCATCATACTTTCCCAGTGTTGTATCATACCTCATAATTACAGCTTCCACAGAAGAACCATTCTGAGCATAAGAAATATTAAGAAAAAGTTTCAGTCGCTTTGCCTTCAAAATATAAGAGTGAATGAAAAGGTCATGCTACGAGATTATTAGGACCTCAATGAGTTATTTGGACAGATGTTTGCCGCTGTAATCAAACAGCCATATGAATATTTAATCAAAATCCTTGCAAATTGAATATTTTATTCTTGATGCAGATCTTTGTTACCCTAAAAGCATAGGTACTTCTATTTGGTAAGCTAGAGTATCAGAGCAATCTCAATGCAATATCTTGGCTGGAACTACGAGGTTGAATTCCCAAAGATACTGGCTTTTGAATTCATAGGAAGTGGCAATTTTAGATCAGATGACATCTTTATAATAGACAATGACATTTTGTATTGCTGCATAAATTGATACATGACTCATGAAGTTGTTAACAAGGTTCCTATTATAATATTATTAGGTCTCTATAGCCAAAGACTTTTGAAATGGTCATTTCCCATATTACCACTTCTAAATTCCAGTTATGAGATAACTATGCAAAAGGTTCAAGGTTTTATTTAACTGTCTAAGATTACATGTTCAATTTCCATTCAAACCTAGCCAAAAGATATGAAGCAAAAAAGAGGGGGAGAATATGTACCTATTAACAATTGCTTGCTCCAATAAAATCCGTTTGTATGAGCATGACTTATAAACTACATGGACACTCAAATTGTATGTTATGACTGTTCTTTCTTGAATTAAGATACATGACAATAATGAAATAAGAAAACAGTCAGTGACGTCTAGTAATTGTTTCAAATTATACATAACAAGCCTTACTTAAACATGGTGAGTCTTAAGTGCTCACAATGTTATCCATACACCTTCACTTTTTCACAAGAATCATTCGCTTAGGACACTGGAACATGATATGGTACGTAGTCGCTTGTGTCCCATAATTCACATAGGATTGTTGTAGTAAAAAAGGACAAATATGAGAACGTTTGTACACTAAGTTTTACACTTGTTCATTCCCAATAACTCACTCATAATATACACATAATTACACAACATATTATACGCATAACAGTGTATTGCCTCAAAGAAATACATACTTTGCACAGATTCTACATAGATCCTTCGATCAAATATCTCCGGAACATAAATTTGACACTGGCCGCAGAAACGAAACCTCAAACAATCGGACAACTAATGAAAGGGCCGTCACTATTCCAACTCTGGGGAACGAAAGTATTTATCTAATTATAGAATCAAGATAACAACTCTAAGATGAAACTGATGACAATTTGAGAATAGGAACTACCTGAAGATGAATCAGAAGCTTAGTGGTGACCCCATCCTTGGCATCGACGGCTGAGGAGAGAGATGACGTCATCGGTTTGAACTTGGAGCGGAGAACGGCGTAAGCAGCCGCCGGCAGTGACGGCACCTCGTCTAGCTGGCATCTAGGGTTCTGGAAAACGTGCCTGCGTCGACATTATAAGAAGAAAGAAAGAATGAATGAAAGAAAAAGCTAGGTTCTAGGAAAGAGAAATGTTAGGGCTCCCTTGTTTTGTTCCTATATAATTAGCTCGGGTTTTAGAGGTGGGGGGAGAGAGAGAAAGAGCGAGGTAATACTTCCAGATGATCGGAATGAAACGGGTGCTGATTCCAGAGGCTTCGAACTCAGAGCGGAGTGCTCCGGCGTCGAAGACGGAGCGAAAGGCCATGAGAGAGGGTTGGGATTCTGAGTATATCGGTTGTCGCCTGGGAGTAGGATTTGTAGTTTGGATTTGGGGTTTCCAGTATTAGTCCCTCACATCACAGCTGATTTGATATTGGTCCCTCAAATCTTCATTTTTGATATTAGTTTCTCAAATAGCTTTTGTCGAGATTAGTCCCTACTAGTTTTCTACCCGTGCAAAGCACGGTGTAGTATTAGAAAATAAATCCTCAAATTCTTTTATAATGAATTTTTGTGATTATATATATATGTTATTTTGCCTATTTTATAATCTACCTATGATTTCTTCAAAGTTTATTTTTTTATAAATTTCCAATATAAAGTTGATAATCTTATGACGTAAATATATAAAAATAGAAAGAATTATCTTATTATTTTCTTGATATTAACACAATATATAAGCATTGATACGATATTAGCATTATTGACTATTTAAGTTATTAATTTTTGTCATTTGATAGGCAATTAATAGTCTTAATCATCTACCAAATCTATGAAATGTCTTAATTTCGTATTATTAGTTTCAGCATAAATATAACGGTATAAATTACTATGTATCTATATCTAATTAATATCTAAATATGGTATGCAAATAATTAAACTTTAGTTAAAATATAAAATGGTACATAATTCTGTCTAAAGATGGTTTGGTAAATAATTTTAATATAATTTTGTCCACGACTTACTTTTTTGGCTAAGGGACTGTTTGGTTGCACACTTTTTGAGAAAAATTTTCTCAAAACATCTGACAATGGCAAATTTGTAATTAAAAGTTTTCCAGAGATTTCTGTAAATTGTGTTTGGTTCAACAAAAAATTTATAGAAATATTTTCTATAAAATATCAAAATCTACCAAATTTTACAAAAAGCAATTTCCTCTCAAAATGAGAGGAAATCACCTGAAATCTGACACATACCATATTTAATTAAAAACCTATCAAATCTTGTTATTTTCTATAAAGTTATGAACTATTTTCTTGTTTTGAACCAAACAAGCAAAGTACAAAAAACAAGAAAATTGGTACTTTTTTATTTCTCTTTCTTGTTTTGAACCAAACAAGCAAAGTACAAAAAACAAGAAAATTGGTACTTTTTTATTTCTCAAAAATTTTCCTATAATTTTTTTAAGAAATACAAGGAAATCATATTTTAGGTGGAAAACATTTCCTATAATTTCTAGAAATTAAACCAAACACCCCCTAATTGGACAGATGTTAAAATATTCCCCACCATATCTTTTCCTATTTTCATCCTTCTTCCCTCGTCTTTCTCGCCGTGGAAAATTTTCATGATGCCACGGCTTTCCTTTCGTGTGTGTATTCCGAGAGGTAAGTTAAAATAAGCCGCACTGCTAATCAATCCTCTTCATCCCTCCTCTCCCTTCTTTCTCTTTGAGGCAAATTTCCCCTTTTGAAGATCCACTTCTCGGTTAGAAGCTTCTGTTAAGGAGTTGTTTGGTTCGGCCAAATTTTTAGGAATCCTACAGTTTTGGAACAAAAAGTAGTTTTTTAACATTATAGGATTTCAAAACTATCATTTGGTTTAACTTTATTTTTTAAGAATATATATCTTAAAAACTGACATGGCAGCATACTTTATGGAAAGCCCAAATCCTCTTTTTAAGCTCGGAAATGGGCTAGAAATCTGACAACTCATTGACAACTCATCATTTAATCTCACAACTTCCTAAATTATTTGGCAATGAAACAAACATGAGTTTTGGATATGTTTTCCTATTCTTTACTTCATCATTCCATACCAAACACAATTTATGGATTCCTATGAGATCCACAAAAAAATTTAGAAATGGTTATTTACCTTGGAATCCATTTCCATTATTTTATGGAAACGAACCAAACAACCCCTAAATCTTCCTATCCTTTTAGAATTTCCAACCGTATGTTCTACATGCATGTTGTTGTATCTATTTATTTTAATTTTTCAAATTTACAGTATTACGTAGTTATCTTAATTTTTGTTGCATGCATGTTACATATTTTCTGAGATATTTTATGTCACGCCCCGCTTCCCAAAATACCCGGGAATCGGAAGGTGAACAAGCCCGCGACGTATTAGATTAAGAAGAAATATGCACTATCATTTTTTTCTTTTCTTCTCAATCCAATACGCTAAGCGTCTGGAATAAATACAATGCGAAGTCTCAGGTCCCCAATCACAGATAGCGAGAATATAATAGACAAACCCATAATAGAATAATACATATCACAAATGAATATCATCCATGACATAAAATTCGGGTCAACATGCCCTTATACAAATCTATCTGAATAAAATACTAGAGAATATAAAAATACACTGATCAAAAGGAAAAGAAAGTGCTACAAAGATAAACTGAAAGGAATCACTAAGCTTCGGTTTCTTCTTCTGCTCCGTCCGCTAGGCACTCCTATTAAGAATCATCTGGCTCTGGCAATGTCCCAGCTAAACATGTTCTTCCTCTAAGTCTGACGTACACCAGAGAAAACAGGTGTACGTCAGGGCGCATGGCACACGGCAAAACCCCACAAAAGAAAAGAACGAACGAAAACCCAATGCGAAAAACAATACTATAACCGAAATGACAAAAGAACGTGCAACTAGAAATCCAACCAAATCAATCAAGTAACAAGTCGGTCATGCAGCTAGTCATCAGAATAATCATCCAGGTAACCATGCCATACAAATAGATGGAATTAATACTTAAAAATCTATAACAAGAGACGTAGTACGTCGAGCGAAATAATACAAACAAGGAAACCCTCATGTATATACCATATGTCTCAAATTATAGATAATTAAATATTAATCCCGATCTATGTATGAAAAGATAATACAATTGATCCGTATCTCACAAAAAGTCATACCTAGCCTAGAAACGAGGTCAAGTAACTAGCCATCCTATAACAGGTCACTGGTCATATCCCACACAGAGTCAACGCTCCTATCACCGAATAATTGGCTATTCACAAATCCTCTACGCGCATCTAATCCCGCGAAGCAGGCGGCTAGAGGACTACACGCAATCCGATCTCGGCCCGGTCCGAACTCAGGCAAAGCTCAGGTGACGAAACAAATCACGGATCCAAGTGGCGAAACAAGTCACTTGGTCCAACAAACCAACCCCAGGACGAAACAGGTCTCTGGTACGAGTCTGGAAGATACATCAACAGCCTTATCCGATCACATGAACATTAACTTCCACATCCCAACTCTTCTCATTTTCTCTAATTTATCAAACACACAATGTCACTAGGTCTGTTCATGACGCACAAGGCCACTAAGTCATGAACTACTAAGGTTCTCAAATACAGCCAGGAACAATCAATGCAGCTAATCACGTGTAATGATATCGTAGCATATCAGATAATCAATATTAAGAATTATAAATCATAAACAAAGTCCACATAATTCAGAAATATTTCTTTTTCCAAAATAATTTCTTTTAAAATTATCATAATTTTTCTCAGATGATTCTGTTCTCAAATAAATTCTTTTTAATTAATATAATTATCCAGAAATGATTCCGCTACCGAAATAACTTCTTTTAATTCATAATAATTATTCTAAAATAATCTTTTTCCAAAAAAACTTCTTTAAAAATATTTATCATTCTAAAATAATTTTCTTCCACAACATAAATTCTAAAAATATTATAGTAATTCTAAAATATTCATGTTACCCAAAATAAATTCTTTAATTTATTATATTTGTCCTGAAAATACTATTTATCACATAATTACTATCCATTCAATATTATTCATCAAACACACGCAGATAAATATTAACGGATCTAAAATTATAGATAATTCATAATAAATAGAAAAAATAGATCTGAACAAGCAGGATCTTGCCTACGAGGCCGAGGGCCTGACGACGAGCGGTGATGTTTGGGGACGGCGACAACGACGGCGGTTGTCATCACTGAGGGGCTCAACGGGGTGCATCGGGTTGTTGGCATATCGTCGAACATGTGGCGTGCGATGGAGGCGCTGGTTGGCGACGAGATCGGGAGTGATCGGGAGAGCTTGGAAGCTGTCGTCGGGGCTGGTTGGGGTCGGCGTGCAGGCGGCTCGGAACTGTCAGGGTGGTCGGAGCTCAGATCTGCGGCGGTCAAGGGCTGGAGTTCGTC